CTGGTGTGCATAATTTTGTTCACCAGAATCAGAATTTGAGTATATAGTGCACTCAATCCTTGTGTCTAATATTCTTTCTCCGGCTCAGAAAGTAGAAATCTTCATTGTCAAAACTTACTTTAATTCGTGTTATTCCCATCCCTGGGTGATGTTGCATGAAAACTGGAGTTTCGAAAATGGTAACACTTGTACTATGCTTCAATTTCAGGCTTGAAAGACTGGAGTCTGGTGCCAGAGATGCTTCTGAATTTCAGAAATGGCAGGACGAAATGAGACGAAAGGATTTAGACCAAGAACTGGCTGAGATAGAACAGAGAAGAATCCTGGGTAAACTGAGTCATGAAGAAGCCATATTAGCAAGACAACAACTAATTAGAGAAAACCGAGAGAAAGTGCAAGAGATGAAAGAGGAGGTATGTTTGAATTTAAACTATAAAACTAATAAATTGTGTGAATTACCCAGGCAGTAATCAATTTATAGCATGTCATTAGCAAAACTCTACCAAAAGGATTCTGACTTAACTGAGCATTCATGCTCTTGTTAACCCATTGTCAGGTTTCCACCTATATTTTGGACTGACCATGTTCAAACTTCACAAATACATCACACTTTTTTGGAGACATATGCCAAAAATTCACCAAAATCAAGCATTTCAGTCATTCTGGAACCAGATCTTTGTCTTGTGTAGATGGACATCTCACTACATTGGGGGGCCGTGTGACTGGGCTGTGTGACTGGGCTGTGTGACCATCTTCCTATCATAATTGCAGTATGGCAATTACGTATGCCCAGTATTATGACAATAATTTATCATGCTCATTCACAGGCTGCCAGACTAATGCAAGAATATATTGAGAAGAGACTGGAAGAGGAAGAAGTGATGAAAAACTTAGTTGAAGATGTTATGACAAGTCATCAAAACGCTAAAGATGCAAAAGATAAACTGAGAGATTACAAACGAAAAATTGTTGATGAAGTAAACGAAGAAAGTCGGGAATTGATGAGGCAAGCATTAGAAGAGGTAATAAGATTATCGTTATTTATGAATATCACTAATGTTGTCTTGTTTATTTTTAAATAATTGTGTAAAATTAGTGGTACAGCAATTCAGGTTCTTTGGTAACCATATACGTGAGACATTGCCGATCTTGCAACAAAATGGGGATTGATACATTTCCAGTAATCACAAATATTATTGTAGGCAGATATTTCACTGTACCAGCTTCAGTTGTGTGCAGAGCGTGTGTTGAGTCAGTATTGTAGGCATCAAGGTTTTCGTTGAATGTTACGAAATGATCAAAAAATATAAAAAAAAAACTTACAAATATAAATCTGTGATATCCATATGTTCATTGCAAGACTTTAATGGTAGGCAACAGCCATGAATATCCGTTTGAACATTTGAGGCAAATGTCTCACAACTATTGCCAGTGCATGCCTGGGAGTGGCGGCGGAACCATGGGGCAGTGGGGGCAGTCACCCTCACGAAAAATAGGTTGTGGGGGCGACGATAAAATAAGGTTAAACACTCATCTATATTTGTCACTAAAATCCACCGCAAATGTCGGTAGAAATGCACACCGTGTGTACCTAAGTATACCATCAAAATTTGCTCCCCAAAATGCAGGAAACAGCATTTCAGAGGGTCTAGATTTCAGAATTTTCCCGGGGGAGCATGCCCTTTGGCGCTTGATTTGTTGACATTCACATAAATTCTTCGCCCCCCCAGTGAAAAAAAGCTGTCGCCGCCTCTGCCCAGTAACAGAGTGACCATAGAACTTGAATACATGCTGAAAATACATGAAATGTCTTATTTCTTCATCTGCATTACAAATTGAGAGGGCACTCAGTTTCCATGCCAAAAATTATAAAATGACCATGGCATGTAAGAATAAAATAGAAAATATCTAAGGACACTAAGAGAAGCCCTTTTGTTATCCAGGCAATTGCCTTTGATGTCTTTTCGTAGTTTAAGCCCAGTACTTTATGTTTCATTTTTTTCTTTTCAGGCCGAGGAAGATATGAAACGCAAGATGGAATTGATTTATCAGATTCGTGCAATGGAGGCTGTACCCAAGATTCGACATGCTTTTGTAGATATCACAAGCACAGCAGGGCATGCATTGCTCAGTGAATTGTCTATAGCCGAGGTAAGTACCCGTATCATAGATATATACCCACTGGACTGAATTATAAACTTTACAGTATTTTATATACACATGTACACCCACTGTACTGAATTAAACTCTTTACAGTATTTGATATACACCCACTGTACTGAATTAAACTATTTACAGTATTTGATATACACCCACTGTACTGAATTAAACACTTTACAGTATTTGATATACACCCACTGTACTGAATTAAACACTTTACAGTATTTGATATACCCACTGTACTGTATTAAACACGTCACTGTATTTGATATACATTCACTGTACTGTATTAAACACATCACAGTATTTGATATACACCCACTGTACTGAATTATACACTTTACAGTATTTGACATACACCCACTGTACTGAATTATACACTTTACAGTATTTGACATACACCCACTTTACTGAATTAAACTCTTTACAGTATTTGATATACATCCACTGTACTGAATTATACACTTTACAGTATTTGATATACACCCACTGTACTGAATTATACACTTTACGGTATTTGATATACACCCACTGTACTGAATTATAAACTTTACAGTATTTGATATACACCCACTGTACTGAATTAAACTCTTTACAGTATTTGATATACATCCACTGCACTGAATTATACACTTTACAGTATTTGATATACACCCACTGTACTGAGTTATACACTTTACGGTATTTGATATACACCCACTGTACTGAATTATAAACTTTACAGTATTTGATATACACCCACTGTACTGTAATTAAATTCTTTACAGTATTTGATATACACCCACTGTACTGAATTAAACACGTCACAGTATTTGATATACACCCACTGTACTGAATTAAACACGTCACAGTATTTGATATACACCCACTGTACTGAATTATACACTTTACAGTATTTGACATACACCCACTGTACTGAATTAAACACTTTACAGTATTTGACATACACCCACTGTACTGAATTATACACTTTACAGTATTTGACATACACCCACTTTACTGAATTAAACACTTTAAAGTATTTGATATACACCCACTGTACTGAATTATAAACTTTACGGTATTTGATATACACCCACTGTACTGAATTATACACTTTACAGTATTTGACATACAACCACTGTACTGAATTAAACACTTTACAGTATTTGATATACACCCACTGTACTGAATTATACACTTTACAGTATTTGACATACACCCACTGTACTGAATTAAACACTTTACAGTATTTGACATACACCCACTGTACTGAATTATACACTTTACAGTATTTGATATACATCCACTGTACTGAATTATACACTTTACAGTATTTGACATACACCCACTGTACTGAATTAAACACTTTACAGTATTTGATATACATCCACTGTACTGAATTATAAATTTTACGGTATTTGATATACACCCACTGTACTGAATTATACACTTTACGGTATTTGATATACACCCACTGTACTGAATTACAATCGTTTTCACTAAACATTGGACAATCAGATTGTGGTAAATGTTGATACATAAGAGCAAGTACCTAATGAAATTGCCACTGATTTTATCACTACTAATCAAAACATTATAACTGTAGCCTAAACATGTTTGATACAATGTATAACTGTCTGTACTCAACTCATTTACATAAAATGTTACGTTTGTGTGTGTCCCAGTAGTGTGTCCAGACACCCAGAGCATATAACGCGGGAAAGTCGGGAGTACAATAATTTGGTGACAAAATGCAGTCTCATAATTCGACACACAATTTAGTGTACGACAGAAAATTGTTGAACTTTACTTAAATTGGCTGTCTTTTTGTCAATTTGCACAACAAACTAGGGTGTCAAAAAGTACTGCGAATAATATATGCACTAAA